CACGTGCGGGAGGTATTTTGTAGCAAATTTATCGTATCACTGCCAGTATGCTATTGCTTTTCAATGTGAAAGGTCACACTTTTATCTGTTTTACAATATTTCTTGATGGAAACAGCCTTTAGTGTACCTTTTTCGGTGAAATCCAAGATATTAAAAAGAACACTTTACCAACGTAGCACTTCATTACTACGAGTGGACCAGATATCAACTAAAATTGCAACTGGCAACTATGAAAGAGCTATTATTTTCACAAATAGGAGATATTGTGCACCTATAGTTCATAAAAGATAGCTTGATCTCTGCAACAGCTGTCAGTAAAATCACACCTATGAAGTCCTGAATTTCTTAGTAGTACAGACAGTACCTGTCAATGTCATACTTTATGGGCATGCCGACCTATATATATATTGAAAATATCTAGCAAATTGTGTCTATTCCGCCCGTAACTATATCACGAGTTATAGAAATGTTAAAAGCCTACCACTTAAAATGTAAAAATTTACTCAAGTTTATTAAGAAGCTCTCTTCAGAAAAATTCGATGATTTTCGAGAAAAGGATTACCTATGATCATATATTTGTTAAAATATTACAGAACAATGACTGTTAAAGAGCACATTTCCTTCATTCAGGAGCCGGGTTCTATATACACGGGTTATGAAACAGTAATTACAGAGCTCTTAGCAAAATAAAGTATTTCCCTAGAACATCTTGTAGCAATAAGTTGTGATGGGACTAATGTAAATTCTGAAAATTACGGTGGCTTTATACGACTCCTTGAAAAAAGGATATAAAGGCCCCTCCAACGGATTATTTGTTTACTGCATATGAACGAGCTGCCATTAAGGCATTTGTTTTTACATATTGACGGAAGCACTTCGGGACCCAAGTCTTACATTGGTCAGTTGGCAAAGATACTGGAAACTTGTGAACAAATGCCGATTAAGAAATTCCAACCCATCGAAGCAGAATCACTCCCAACAGTGCCCCAGATTTGAGCACAGATCAAAAGTACTGAAATAATTAAGTTCTTTTTCAGAAGATTTAGCAAACAGGTCTCCAGGGTGTATACCTCATCATTACATTCTTTCCTACACAATCTCATGCTCGTTAGCTCACACGTGCTCATTGAATCCTACGTTTGTATGTAGCAACAGAGAAACCATCAGAAAATTTGACTGCTCTTGCTACATTTGTCGTAAAAGTTTACGCCACAGCTTGGTTCTCGATTAAAATTAAACCATCATGTAAAGATGGAGCTCGATGTCTATTTAAAATTATATTACCCTTCAGAATCCTCCAATCCAGAATCCTTGAAAGAAGTGATCGACTCTGTCATTCAACGCAATAGCTACTTCGCACATCCTGAGAATTTTGCTACTTGCAATGATTACAGATGATAAAAAGCAAATTCATGAATTAGCAGCCCGGCGTATAACAGTTAAATGTTGTAAATTGACTAACTTGCACTAATCCCTAACACACTAACACTAATTTTTTTTTCATACAACGGCGCTCCATCCTAATACTGGCGTATAGGCGAACATAGTGTGCAAGGGAGAAGAAGTTTCCTAGTGGAAAAAATGCAAAATAGAAAAGGATACCAAATCTCATGACTCTGCGTCTGTAACCGACTTTAAATTATAGATAAATAGATATGCAAGCGTAGACAGAGAAACCTATAGACAAATTGACGCCTTCTTTCGCATTCGCACACGAAAAACATAGGTTTATGCATACGTCTTGCATAGAAATGAGACAGAGCGGTGTGATTGTTTGTCCCTTTCTCCGTGCCGCTTTTTTTGTTTAGCAAATTACACTTTGCTAAACAACTTTGACAGTTCGTAGCGATCTAAGGAGTTTACAAGTTGGTTTAAGTGAGAAAAAAGTGTTTTGTGAGCTTAAGATTGGTGAATCTTCACCAATCTTAAGTGAGTTCAGTTCTTAAATAAAAATAAAATAAAAAAGCCTTTTATTTCTTGCTTCATAATATAGATTCACAGTTTGAAACAGTGTGCATGCAAAAATTATTTGGCCCAGTGTAACAAAACTTAAAATTTTTGTACTTTTGATATTTATGTTGATGACTTACAATTTCATTAATTAATTACAATAACTTACTTCTTACTTCTTTTAGAAAATTAAATTTTTCTAAAATTCGCACACAGTGTATAATTAGTGTACGATTGCAAGAACCCCTCATTAAGGGAGGGTAAAGGCCTCCTCCAGAGATGACCAATGTTTTCTGTCCTCTGCTACTCGCATCCAGTGGGTACCTGCTATTTTTATAATGTCGTCTGTCCAGCGCGCGATTGGTCTACCCCTTTTTCTTTGGCCTGATGGTCCCAACCATGATGTTGTCTTTATGGTCCAGCGATTGTCAGTAAGTCTGGCTATATGTCCGGCCCATCGCCATTTTAGTTTCTGTGAGTAGCTAAGAGCGTCGATGGCTTTAGTTTTCTGTCTTATGACAGTATGGCGGATTTTTTTGATCTTCTTAATCTTCATAATGCTTCTTTCCATACTTCTTTGACTTGTTATGATCTTATTTTTTATTTTCCTAGTAAATTTCCAGGTTTGACAGGCGTATGTTAGTGAGGGGAGTAGGCAGTTGTTCATGACTTTGCTTTTCAGCCTTGTGGGCAAGTCGCTTTTTAGAATTTCTTTTAGGCTCCAAAATTTCTTCCAGGTGATGTTGACTCTTCTCTCTACTTCCTGTTCATGGTTGTGTGGGTTAAATGAGATTTGTTTACCCAGGTATATGAATGTATCAACATAGGTTAAAGGCAGATTTTTGAGATATATAGGTATTTTAGTATGATTTGTCATGACATTAGTTTTATTTAAGTTGATTTCCAAGCCTACTTTACGACTTTCCCCATGTAGAATGTTTATCATCAGTTGGAGTTGGTTTGTGCTTTCTGATAGTAAAACTATGTCGTCAGCAAATCTGAGATGACTCAGGTAACATCCGTTTATGTTAATTCCCACTTCCTCCCAGTTTAGTTTGCGAATGATGGACTCTAGCACCGCTATAAAGATCGTTGGTGAGACTGGGTCTCCTTGCCTTACACCTCTTTTTATTTGTATGAGTGGCCCAGTTGTCTCCAACTTCACTCTGTTAGTACTATTGTCGTAGATGGTTTTCAGCACTTTGTATGTAGTCTAATGCCACTTCTTGAGAGAGTAGAGCATCCCAAATCGATGAGTGGAATAGAGTATCGAAGGCTTTTTCATAGTCAATAAAGACAGCATAGAGTGGTCTGTTAAACTCTTGGAATTTTTCTATTATCATCTCTAGCGAGTGTATATGGTCAATTGTGGAAAAACCTCGTCTGAAGCCAGCCTGTTCTATAGGTTGGAATTTTTCTGTGGTTTCTTTTATTTTTTTCTCAATTATAGAGGAGAAAAGTTTATATAATGAAGGTAGCAGGCTTATCGGTCTGTAATTACTAATGTTGTTTGGGTCTCCTTTTTTGTAGAGCAAAATTATTTCCGACTCTGACCACTGACGTGGGGTGTTTTTGCAATTCAGTATCATGTTGAACAGTCTGGTTAGAGGCTTTACTAGATACATGAATCCTGTTTTTATAGACTCGTTGGTGATTCTGTCGGGCCCTGGGCTTTTATCTATTTTTAGTGCTTTAATTCCTTTAACCACTTCGTCTTCGTCGATGCTTGCTTTCGCCTCGTCTGCACTAACACTCGGTAACTTATATGCTGGAAGCTTTGGTGAGCTGTAAAGATTTTTGTAGAAATCTGTCGCTATTTTAAGTATTTCCGTTCTATTTTGCGTATATTGAGTTTCGTTTTTCAACTCTTCAATCCATGATTTATGAGTTCTCAATTCCTTGTACGCTTTCTTAGCGCTCCCTGTGGCCTGAACACATTTTTCTATGGTTCGTGTGCGGTGTGCCTTATAATCTTGGTTAATTCGTTTACTTATAAGCTTATAAAGTGCTTTTAATTCATTTTTGATAGCCCTTGATTTCGGTTATGTTTTATGTATTTCTTGTCTTCTGCTGATTAATGCCTTTGTGCGTGCTGAAATTATTTGGTTTCTCTCTGTGGTTGTGTAAGTTTTTGGCTCATGAGCTTCGTTTCAGTTCAGTTCTTAGAACAATTTAAAATGTTATCTAAATATGTTTAAAAGTCATAAAGATTATTGTATAATTTAAAACTACGTTATCGTCCTTTCTCACTCGAGGCCACGCTAATCATTAGTCTATGGGTTTCTCTGTCTACATATGCAAGCTATTTTGAATGACAGGTTGGCACAAATCAGCACGCAAGAAATAAGCTCGTATATATTTTGTAATTTTTTACATACCGTCAAATGCCCTAACTTTTCACGAATGTTGATATTATTTAGTTTTGTCATACAATAAATTCTGAATTTGTACTTTTTAGCAGATAGATATTAAAACAAGAGTAAAAACAAGACTTAGGTACAATATATAACATTTATTTTAGACATTACGCTTAATAATAAATAACTTTTTGGAGGTATTTCATGAAAAAGGCAAAGTTATGTCTAATATTCCTAACATTGCCAGAGGCGTTTACTCCAAAATAAATATATACATTTAATCCTCGGACAATCTTAAATGTAGCTTAATAATTCAACAATACAAATCAATTTCGAATAACACCTTTTGGAGTATTTTAGTAGACAAAATTTTATAAGGCAATGTTAGGACACAATTTCTTCCGATATTCATACATTGACAAAGAAAGTGTAGGGTTGTCTCATAAGAAAAATAAGTAGGTAACAAAATATTAAAATTATATTTAAAACACATGTTATAACACTTAATCAGTCATTCTCATTGCAAGCAGTTTTTATTAAAATTACAATCAGTCTTTCGAAATTAACCCTTTTTCTTAATAAACATAATCTATAAACGCACAATATGACATAGTAAAGTTTTACTTTATTTATCCTAAAAAAAATACAACAATATCACAATGAAGTCAAAAACTAATTATCAGGTAATGAATTTCAATAAATGTTTGACAAAGGAACGCCTAAATTATCTAAATCAAACTTTAATGTCCCTCTACGTCCAACTTGTGGATTTGGCAACGTTTTTTCTACATCAAGTAAAGTTATTTCTGAGACATCATCTACTAGTGGCCAGTAAAATGTACCTTTTGAATTTTTTCTTAAGTATTTTATAGTATATACGCGCTCCAAATCGTTGTACTTGATTACTAGACCAATATAATATTTAGCCAACTTTGATGTTGAAAATTTAACAAGAACATATTTATCAATACCTATTTCATACATATCATTTTCTTTATCAATATTTTGTTCCAATTCTTCATACATTTCGTCTATGTACGTTTCTGTGTCACTTAAAGATGGAAGAAAATGTTCATCACAAGACGAATCATGCACAGTATATATTCCTGAGCTTTCTGAACTCGAACCTTGATTGCTCCTACTTTTTGGAAACACCTTTTCATGCTTAGTATAGTCATCTGAAACACTATCATCAAATGAGATTCTATCTGGGGATTTTATAATTACATTGGAGAGAATTCGGCTTTTCGTCATAGTTTCATTTGATGTAGTTGCACCAAAGTTAGAAATATTTTTGAATAAAGTCCGGTCATTTGATAAACATAATTTTTTATCAACATTCACAATAACACCTGGTTGAATGTTGTAAATACTTTTGGTATTTTTCTGGTCAGATAATTCCATATCTCCATGTTTTTGATGTATTTCAGCATTTACTATCAAATTAGTCATAAGTTGGTTATTGTCAGCATCGGATGACGAATCTCGTCTAACGTGTAATGAGACATTGTCAAAAGTATAACCCACACTTTGATTATACATAATCAAAGAATCTGCAATAGTTGAATGTGTTTCTTTCACGTCTTCCTGTAATTGGATTTGTTTGGGGATGATATTCTTCTTAGGATTGAGTCTTTTTGCGTTACTAAGAGTTGTATCTGGTGCTTTTCATTTTTGAGTTTTTTCATTTACGAGATCGGTAACAGTTACTGATTTTCCAGGCTCTATAAATATTTTTTTATTTGTATTTCTTATTTGCCGGTTCGCCGGGTTTCTTAAACCTTTCAAATAATTGACAAAAGTCTCATCGTAAGTAATGTTTGGTTGTAGCCTACGATAATCTGGCAATTTATTTAATATAGCTTCTGGATTAATGGGGTGTATCCCAGCAGCACGAAATCCGCTAATTATGTTTTTATTCTGTATAATTTTTGTTGCATCTAGTAACATTTTTAATAATTGGGTGTCGAACTTTGTAGACCGTTAAAATTCGCCTCCATTCTCCCTTTAATGGACCGAAAAAGGTCACATCGAGAGGTTGAGTGTGGTGAGTGGAGTTAGGTGGCAAAAAGATAAATCTGACATTATGTTCTTCACAATCAGTTATTATATTTACATTCATATGTGACGATAAATTGTCTCCAATTAAAACTTTAGGATCAGTGGTTTTCACTGCCCATGGGATAATTATGGTATTAAACCAGTCTTCAAAAGTATACGAATCGAACCAACCAGATTTGGTTTTGTTGTATCTGGTTCCTTCAGGCCCGTTTGCACACCAATTTGTTCACAAATTGTCTGCTTTGTATACGACATATGGTGGAAAAATTTCTCCACTTGCCGTAGCTGAGAACATAACAGATATCGCCGTCTTGGTATTGTTTAGTGTTTTGTTTGGGTATTTAATACCTGATTTAAATATGCATTTTTGAGATCCTGGGTTATCGGAAAAGTTGGTCTCATCATAGTTCACTATATGATCTGGTTTGACATTATGCAATGAAATCTTCAAATTTTCAAAATATGTATTGTAGTCCTTTACATTCTTACTGGCTCGGGATTCTTTAATATTATTTGTAGAACGCACCGTCAGGACATTTTTGTGGCCTTTCAAGAAGATTCTTACCCACTTCTGACCCGGCATTTTGTAATTAAAAATATTACTGAGTCCATTTTTGATTAAGTAATCATGTACGATTGACCTTAATTCAAAGCTAGTAATAGGATACCCATATTCTCCACAAAGAATTAAACAACTGACTATTTTCTGTTCATCAGCTGGTGGCAGTTTGGTGGGACATCCGACTTTTTTTTCGTGTGTTTTTGTTTTACTTTATTTAAAATCGTGCGGCGAGGGATACCAAATTGTTTCTCAGCGTCGTATGAAGTAATATTTTTATTTTGAACGAGACCTACAGCAATGTTTAGTAAGCTCTCATCGTAATCTTTATATTTTCTTCGCGGCTTGTTCATTTTGATTGTCCTTCAAATAAACAGAAAACTGAGTAAGTATATATATACTAAGAATTAGGGAAGGCACTGTTTCCTGAGATACAGGTGATAACCTAGTTCAGGAGACAGAGCTCCTTTGTATTTAGATATATTTGGTTGCTAATAAACGTTATTTATTATTATATATATATATATATATATATATATATATATATATATATATATATATATATTTCTTTTAACTACCTTTTTTTGTATAAGACTCCATTGACATTACAAAAGCAAAGCAAGAAATTATCTAAAGTAGGTAAACATAATATATATAGGTCACGCGCCCGCCTAATTAAAATTAATAACAAGTGTCAACCCTAGGCTCGGCAATGTTCGGTAAACTTGACAAAACATGCCAAACTTTGCCAACACCAGTATTTCTCAATAATTATTAGTGTATTTCTATCGTTAAAAATGACAAATTATCAAATTATCATAGTTTTACGGAGTGAGTATAAAACAAGTTAGAATTAAACATATTTTAATGACTTACTTGAAAAGTTTTCTCACAACTCTCGTAACCGCCGTTCTATACTTTGATTCAGCACCCGATTGTCAAAAATCTTTGCATTTTACCAACGTGATGCCACTAATTTTGTGTTAAATATATGTATAATAATTCTAAAAATATATCAAAGTTTCCGTTGTCAGGCTAGTAAAATAGAAAAGATATTACTTCTTTTTCATTATGGGCAAACATTGGACCCGTGGCAAAGTTAGGGAGTTTGACGGTAATTATAGTGTTAATTTTTGTAATTCCTGGTTTTCCAAAAAGGTACATGTTCCGTGAGTGAAAATTGTGTCAATAATATAAATAATCTTCATAGTTTATAAATTATAGAATATTTTCAATTATTTTATTATTTTGATATTTTGCTAAAAAAAAGTCACGTTATTGATAATTTGTATGATTTTGGTGATTTTTTTAAACAGCATATTTTACATGTATAATAAGCCGATGCATTAAAGAAAGGAATCTTAAATGGTGGCTTGTATCTTAAATGTTACGTTGACAGATAGTACAGTTAGTGTGGCCGTGAAAGGAAAAGGGGAGATCTCCCGCCGAGCAAGGTGTTGTGCCCGGGGATAGGCCAACACTCCGTGTGATAGTTCGGAGAAGTTCTATATATACTGTTTATGATTCGGAATGTTGATAGCGCGATTTAGGCTTCGGTGTGTTTTCGCTTGTGGCGCGACGACAGCGCCGCTACATCACCCCCCTGCTCAGACCGGAGGTCGATAGTGCAGCCTCGTTGCCGACGAATGTGCAAGTGCCAGGGGATTGCCTTGTAGTCTGCGGTGAGTCGAGAAGAAGGCAAGTAATCTGCGAGAGTGCCGTGAAGCAGAGGCGAGCAGTAAGGCTCAGAGCCGTGCCGAACACTGTATAGCGCAGAGAGTAGCTTGAAGGAACAGAAGCATTATTATTCCAGTGCTGCGATAAACTTTGAAGAGATGCTTAGGATATGATATTTATGTATGGAGGTGGGGGCTTTAAGTAGTTTTTTTTTTCAAATTATAAATAATGAAAACAAGACCTGGTCGTATTAATTTTAAATTAACTTCTGCCCGCGGCTTTGCCCACGTGAAAGTTAACAATTTGAAAGATACGTGACCCCATCGATTATTATTAGAAGGTTATTGTTGTTTTCATCGGAAACAGTAGTAGGTACTGTTTCCGTTCCGTCCGTTTTTTTCGGGGTGAAAAAACTTTACGTCCGTTTCTGTACACCTGACAACGTATATAACAAAATTTCAGGAGTATCCTTATTATGATGTTGCCGATGTTGGTTAAAATAAAGAACGAATATTATTTTTAACTCATTTATTAATACTGTCTATGAGACGGTCCTTCACCAAGATCATCAAAGGGTCCTCGAGTCCTCGTTTTCATTATTGTCCGACGACTTCTCGGTATGTGTTTCAGAATCACTGCTTTCTGGTCTTAAATTAATAATAAAATCCCTATATTTCCTCCTCCTCAACTCGTTTAATGTGATTAATTTGTTTTTTCCAGTCATCCGGAGCAATGGATGCAATTGCTATTTTAGTCAATTGTTCAATTTTATTAACATCAGGGGACTTCATTCAAACCTTAACTAGCATCTGGAAAGGGCGAAACCGGCCTTGCTCTTTCTAACCGAGACACAGGTATCCTCTCCGGCTGATGCTGCGTATCTCTCCTACCCGGGGTACAAATTACAACACTCTTTTGTGCCCCAGCTGGAGTTTGCGTGTATATCAGAGAGGACATCTGTTTTCGATGCCTCGGCAGCCTTGAAGGTATGGACCTGTCCATTTTATGGCTGCGCGTAGACGGCGACGACCATCCCAGCGTCTACGGGTGCCTCTATAGATCCCATAGTGGTAATGCCAAAAAGACCGACTCACCGACCACGTCCAGATGGCTACAGACTCTGTGCTACAACAGATCCCATCCGCAGAGATCGTGATACTTGGAGATTTTAACGCCCACCACGCTGAATGGCTTGGTTCTCGTTTAACCGATCATGCGGGTAGATCTGTTTATTACTTTGCTTTGGCATATGGTTACCTCGCCCACGTGGATCCCGGATGTGGAAGATCATGTACCTTCCCTGTTGGACCTTCTGATGACCTCTCATCCGGACGGATATCAGGTCTCCGTCAATGCCCCTCTTGGTTCCTCGGACCATCGTCTGATCCGGAGTACGGTGCCGCTCACGCTCTCATCGCGAATGCGTACCGCAGGTTGCTGCCGTATTTGGCATTATACGTTAACTGACAGGGTCCCCCTTGGGGGCGGGTTTGCTACCCGCCGGATGATTTCAGCGTTTTTGCTGATTCTGTCGCTGATGTGGTGCTACAGGGAATGGAACTTTTTATTCCATCATCTGTGGTACCTATCGGAGGCAGAACACAGTCTTGATTTGGTCGCTCCTGCAAAATTGCACTACGTCATAAGCAGGAGTGGTACCAGGCCTGGCCTAGCGCATCGACATCTTAGGATGCAAATACCAGCGCCCTTAAAAAGAAGTACAATTCTGCCTCCAGGTCCTTTCAAAAGTGTCATTGTCAAGGCAAAGTCAGAGCACATCGGCAGAAATGGCGAGAAACTACTACGTCTTCCTTCGGAAACACGTGCATTCTGGTCTCTCGCCAAGGCTCTCCAAGGGAACTTCTGTCAGCCATCTCTCCCATCTCTGTACAGGGAGGACAACTCACTGGCCCATGCCGCAAAGGACAAAGCCGATCTGCTGGGCTCTCTTTTTGCATCCACTCGACTCTTGATGACGGGGGGAACACACCGCCGACTATCCCGCGGAGTGAGTGCTCCATGCAGGATGTCCTGTTTACCCAACGCTCAGTGCGCAGATCACTCCTCTCCCTGGACGTCAACAAGTTGAGTGGGCCGGATGGCGCCCCTTCTATTGTGCTGAAGACGTGTGCTCCCGAGTTGGCACCGGTTTTAACGCGTTTTTTCCGGTACTCCAATTTCTTCTGCGTAGTCCAGAAATCATGGAAGACAGCCCTCGTTCACTCGATTCCTAAAAAAGGTAACCGCTCTGATCCATCCAGCTATAGGCCTATCGCTATCACCTCCTTGTTCTTTAAACTCTCTGAAATGTATATTAACAAATTAGAAATGGTATCATGTGCGATAAGGAACTCCGTTCCAAAACATCAAATATTCAGGTTTGTTTACATTTTCATTATACTAATTAGCGATTATCTCTCGAACACGTGGACCGATTTACATAATTGGAACTAATAAAATGGTCTTAGACTTAAATCGTTAAGATATCTCAACAAACAAAAAATCGCATTTTCAAGTTCCTCTCGTAATTAAATTATACGACATATTGTTTTATCAAACTTAAACGTTATGTAATGTCATAACAACATAACATTACAAGTACCTAAAAAAGTTGCATGATAGCTTCATGCAAACATACCTTCTTTTTTATCTTCACTATTGTGCTAACTGGTGCCACGGAAGCTCGAGCATTACTATGCTCGAATGGATGATAACGCTCTAGATTTATTTCTTCTTCATAATACTTGATGATATTATATGCTATTTGACGTGAATTACTATGTATAATCTTCCCTCGCTTTCAAGGAGACATAACGATGGGGACGATCTTGAACATGTTCGCAGACTGCAGACCGACGCTCCGGGAAGTCTGCAGTCTGCGAACATGTTCAAGATCGTCCCCACAATTACATTCGATTTGACAACACACACACTTCCACAAATCCTCGCAAAAGAACACCGATTCCTACCAAGGATGATACGCGAGGCTATTGAAATTAAAAAATATCCAAATTTCAATAGAGAAGATGGATGGGTGCTGCCAGCAGCTTGGGATCCTATAATTAACAAAATTAAACCCAAACCCAAGCATATCTCTGCAAGACTTCATGATACTATAAGCTCGTTTTGCGTAAATCGGACCCAGAATTAATATTCAAAAACTGAAGGTAGCCGGACTAACTATGACATTGGGACGTCAAACATCTCAGTCCCCCCCGTGACCATGGGTGCTGTAAAGCACCCGAAACGTCGGGATAGTAAAAACAAATTAAAGTAATTAAACGCGATAAAATCCGTAAATAATAGTTTTATTCAATATTACAAAGAATTCGTAAAAAGGATCACTGAGCGCGTCAAGACAGCGTGGAAGCAAATCGAGACATTTTTTTTCTGCATACGGCACGCGCGACAGTGGGTATAGACGGTACTAGTGTGCGAGCGAGAGAACATGATAGCACCGCCATGTTAGATTCCTTAATTCTTTCTTTAATGAACCGGGTACACTCCATAGAACCGGGATATACGCTAGAGCAAAATTAATGACGATATTCATATTGAATGTTTATTAAGAATCGATAGACTTGCCCACACAACAAAACGAGGAATGAAATTAAATGCTCGATTTACTTTCTAAAAACGTAATTTTATTTTGCCGTTTGCCAAGATTCCCTATGGATTCTTTAGTTAGAAAAAATGGTTGGCATTTATTGGGCCGGTTAGTTGGAATTCAAAGAAGAACTCTATAATTTGCAGCAAAAATTTTCTTGAAAATATAAAAGAAAAAGTAAAATAAAAACAATTTTATTAAAAGGAGCCATTCCTACATTATTTGTACCAGTGAGTATAGTATTGTACAGTGGGGATGAATCGCTCTCGCCCAGAGGCTTCGCCTATCCCTAGGCCGAACCCGGCTGGTGCTAAACGAGCGACAAAATCGAAAGGATAGACTCTTCTCACTGCCATATGTTAGTGGCGTAAAATCTACCAACCCCTTAGTTTGCACCATGAGGCATAAAAGTAAAGAAATGACCTCGAGTTCCCGGCGCCCCTTTAATGGGACAAGGGTGCGAAGAATCTCCGAGAGTATAACCGGCAACGAGGTTCACCACTCGTAACGTCCTGTCTCCCGGAGGGGCGAAAAGTGGATTGCGGAAGCCCTTCTAGCTACGTTGAATGTATGTATGTATAAGATGGATGAAGTTGCGAAATGATGAATGATAGGGAAATAGATGTGTTATGTGTAAGTGAGACGAAACGAAAGGGAAAAGATGCCACTGCACATGGCATGTATACTGCGTATTGGTCTGGTGTAGACGAGACCGAGCAAGCATGTCAGGGAGTCGGTATAATCCTTTCAGAAAGAATGGTTCAATGTGTGAAAGAGTATTGATGTGTATATGATACGAATGAAAGTGGGCTAAAAGAAGCTGATTGTGCTGGGGGTGTACGCCCCAGACATGTCTGAGCCCACTTATATCCGAGAGCAGTTTTGGGATATGGTAAGGATGGTGTTGATGAAATGTAAGGCAAATGAAAATATTATTATGTTAGAAGACTTTAATAGAAGGGTTGCGGTGAAGAGGTCTGATTATTATGATATTGGGAACGTTTGGTGATGAAAGTATAAATGAGAATGGTGAAGGCCTCCTCAACGTATGTGTGGAAAAGAATCATTTTTAACGAACACTTTCTTTCTTCATAAGAAGATTCACATGTATACATGGGAAAGAGGTGATGATAGAAGCATTCCTCATTCTTTCATTCACAATTATGAAATCTATCAAGATTTCATAATTGTGAATGAAAGAATGAGGAACGTAGTGGTAGATACCCCTTGTACCAGGGGTCCAACGTAGGGACGGATCATTACTTGGTCTTATGACGAATTAATGGTATATTCTAGCGTTGGCGTCTTCAGACATCTGCGTCTACCACAGCGTTACAGCGTATAAAATAGAGAAGTTACAAGATGAAGATGTGAAAGAGAAGTACTAAAGAGAAGTAAGACTGAAGGAAAATACTAGGTGTTTAAATGAATTGTGGATTGTGCATAGACTTGAAGACTGTGTGGGATGCAGCCACCGAAGTATGTGGTGTAAGTAAGAGAACAAATGAAAGGAAAAATAATACGTTGTGGTAGGATGATGAGGTACAGATGGAAGTTGAAGCAAAGAAGGGAGCACGGCTAGATTTACTAGCAACCAAAGCTGGTAATTCTGGGAAGTGGAAAGGGTTAGGGAGATAAGTGTAGATAAAATAATGAAAGCAATGAAAAGCATGAAAGCAGGTAAGACAGCTGGATATGAGTATCACTCGAGATGCTAAGGGCTGGAGAAGAAGTGGTGGCAGGCCTGCTGTACACCTTGTTTAATTTATGTTGGGGAATGAAACTGGTACAGGAAGACTAGTGTAAAGCAGCTATAGTCCCAATATATAAAGGAAAAAGTCACAGCAGTACTGTCAAAACTACCGTGGTTTCTATCAGCTTGCTTAGTATTGTGGGTAAATTATATGCTAAGGTGTTAAAGAGTTATGAAAGAAACCGATGGAAAAAATTTGGGATGTGCAAGCGGGATTTAGAAAGGAAACGGGGTGTACAGATCAAGTCTTTCCCATTGAGCGCTGGCTTAGACCATGGTTAATGTTCCCCTTGAGCGTAACATATAAATAAATCTATCCAAAATGTATTTTAGATTATTGTAATTTCAAAAATTGTAAAACTAAAGGGCTATGGCTAGGATGGGGCTACTCAATTAGTTGAATCCCTTTGTTAATGGGTTTACCGTCTAATTATCTTGCTGCGTCTTATCAAAAGGATTGGAAAAATCGAACGGGACGCGGAGGAGAAGTACAAAATATTGAAAAGCTGCTGTTCTCTGCAACTTCGTCCGCGTAGAATTTATTACGATTGGATTTTATGACTTTTAATTTTTTTGCGCGGAAAACTAATTATTTTTATAAATAAAAAGTAGCCTTTGTTACTTCTTATAACAACAGCTAGTGAGACCGTGAGGCCCGCCAAAATCGGTGAAGCCATTTTGGAGATTAACTGGAACAGACAGACAAAAAAAATTAATTTTTTTTATAAATATGTACCATATAAGCTTTTATACGCATTTACTAAAAAGCTGTTATTTTGTCATTACAAACAGACACTTGAATTATATTTATTTGTATAGATATCAACGAAAACATTCCTTTGTTTTAAAAAAATGACCGTATTCAGAAACTCTCTTAATAAGCTTACCTTGCATCGAATCAATCATAAAATGCAAAAAAATAAACAGTCAATATTTAAAAAACCAATCTATAAGTCTACGATAAGAATAAAATCTCAAATAAACATTGTATCTAATGATTAAAGAAAACGATGATATCTAACAATTCGTACCTATCGCATTAACCTGAAGGACAAAGAACAGATAGTCTGATAACTCTTTATTGCGCATAATTAGAACAAATGCTTAGAAACCACAAACATAAAAAACTGAAAAGGTACAATCGGCGTTCTTATCGTTAAGTAGCGATCTGGTTGAGCCACAGACTGTTCCCTCGAATCCTACTAGAAGGAAACAGAAAAATGGTTAGGCCAATGACCAGAAATGTTTTCAGCGATTGGGGTCCGGGTTCGATTCTCAGGTCGAGCCATGACCTTATTATGCGTGATGTTACTATGTGGACTGTATGTGCGGATTCTTACAACCAAAACAAGACGGCTGACGTGGCACGCGGATGCCTTGGATGATGCACTCGCTATTCCAAAATCTACTGTTTTGCCAGTGTCTCGAAGGAGTTTCCACTTGAACCGCTAAGGGAGAGAAATGCACTTACCGGAGTGGTGTTCCTTGCGGCCTCGTGGATGACGCTCATGGTCTTGTGGTGCGTTGGAAGATCGGTGCGCGACGATATCTCGCACTATGCGATGCAGTTACTTCTCGATTGTTCTGTGGCGCGACTGCCACAGAGGTGCGGACACAGCTTGCGGTTCTCTTCGACTCGTATTCTAGAAACCCCCCCCCCCTCCTTTCAGTGCGTGAGAAATGGAATGCGTAGTGGGATGGAAACAGACACTGGCAATAATAACCAACCGAACAAAATGTGAGAGTACTCGATTATTTTTCCGCGCAACCACGATCTCTTTCATACAAATATTTGATACGAGACGGAAGAATTCAAAATTACGGGTGGATTTACACGTTCAATATTATTGCTAATATTTACAGTATTGTCAATAATAATGTCTTACAGACCGAATTTCGGTCACGGCGGTCAGCCTTAACGGAGACTTGCCACCTATGAAGAACAGAATTATAGTATAAGCACAAGAATAGGTGCACTCTCTATTCCTTTACTCTAATAGATAGTCCGATGGGACGGTAAATTTCCGGGTAGCTACTGAGAATTTTGCAGAACGACCCGCACACGTGAATGCCGCCATGAATACCCCAGTGGTTGCTGATTCAAATGATGATGGAACATTCACCCAAGAACTAGAAATAGAGCAAATGAGAAGTACATTGGAGGAGGCGATTATGGAAACGCGCGGTACGCCTCTCGAAAATCGACCGCGACTTCCCCGCATAGCCCTAAGCAAGCGGAATCGGGCTGTCGTGAGGGCTCTGAACCCAATGCTGGTGACCTATATGGAAGCCAGCCGGGACCTTTGCGAGACGGACTCAATTCTCTTTGGCGCCGCACTGGCAGTCTGCCGTATTATAGGCGCCAAACTTTCCACGGCCGGACGCACTACTGGACAAAGTAGTGCTATCCCAGCCTGGAGAACAAGAATTGAAGAACGTATCGTAAAGGCTAGGGCCCTCATCGGCAGACTGATATGCTTCAGGTTAGGCAATACCAGGCCAAGGATTGTGCGCACCGTCAGGATGGCGTTTGCTGGGACAAATGTTAGTTTGTCCCAGCCGGATATAATGCAAAAACTGACGGAGCGCATAGACGACCTGAAGCAGAGAATCGCTGCTTGGGGAAAGCGAATTCGGCGATATACCGAGAGGTCGACAAGGTTCAACCAGAATCGTCTCTTCCAGAGTGAACAGAAGATGCTCTATAAATCATTGGAGCGACCAATGGTAAGTGGAACGGGCCCAGTACCGAAACAGGCCGACACGGTCGCATTCTGGCGCAGCCTGTGGTCAGAGCCCGTAAACCACAACGAGGGCCCTTGGACGGAAGTTGTGGCGAGTCAATGTGCGGGTATTACGCCCATGGACCCCGTCACCATAACGCCGGATGACGTAGCTGAGGCGGTCCGTAGGGCACCGAACTGGAAAAGTCCGGGACTCGACGGGCTGCATCACTACTGACTGAAGGGGTTCGTGGTGTGTCAAACTGTGCTCGCCCGACAGTTTCAAGAGGTTCTCAACCAGAAGTCGCTCCCGAGCCTCTTCACTACTGGGATCACCCATTTGGTTCCTAAAGGCCAGGGTACCACAGACCCGAGCAAATACCGCCCCATCACGTGTCTACCGACCATATACAAGACACTAACATCCATTTTGAGCGCGAGAATCACTCGTCACCTGGACTCAAATCAGGTGATGTCGCGCGCTCAAAATGGATGTCGGGGCGGTGGTCGTGGAACCAAGGAACCACTCCTCATTGACGCGGTCATTGGCAAAGTGGTGAAACGCAACCGTCGGAACTTCTCCGCCGCCTGGATAGACTACAGAAAGGCATTCGACTCGGTGCCCCATACATGGCTAAAGAGAGTCCTCGAGCTATGATATGTACAGTTAGAGACTTCCTCGAGCAGTGTATGGGGCAGTGGAGTACGATCCTTTGTCATCTGGGCGAGGGGATGATGGCTGCGGAGAACCACATAAGGATAGGAAGCGGTATCTTCCAGGGCGATTGTCCGAGTCCAATATGGTTCTGCCTCTCTCTGAACCCTCTCAGTACCTTACTGGAGGGCTCCGGGAGGGGATTTCAGCTACGGAAAGGAGGGACAAAATTGACCCACCTTTTCTATATGGATGACCTCAAGTTATTCGCCTCCAGTCGCTCCCATCTTATGGAATTGCTAAACATCACTTGTGAATTTAGCAATTCCATTGGAATGGAGCTGGGGACGGATAAGTGTGCGGTACTCCATGTTGAGAGGGGTAGGGTTGCTAACTCTGAGGGCATAGACTTATCTATGCCCGTCAACTTAAGGACCCTTTCCGAGGCTGAAACATACCGATACCTGGGTATGTCACAGAACATCGGTATCGATGAGGCTGGTATGAAACAGTCAGTTTGCGACGTGTTTTATGCACGCTTGACCAAAGTGCTTAACAGCCTTTTGTCCGGTGTGAATAAGACACAAGCATATAACGGCTGAGTCATGCCTCAACTACTACTACAACTACAACGGCAACTAGGTCAGGCACAACCTAGTAGCCAGAATTCTACATCAGGAGCTCGCTCTGAAATACGGTTTCGTGGATCGGAAATTGCCGTATTACAAGTACTTGCCGGAAGTCGTGCTCCAAAATGATCGCTCCAGGCTCTATTGGGACCGAGCCACCATCACAGACAGGACTATTCATGCGATTAAGCCCGATATTGTGCTGATGGACCGGGCACAATCAACGATATTTTTGGTCGACATTACCATTCCTTGTGACGAGAACCTCGTGAAAGCCCAAACACATAAGCAAACAAAATATCTGGACCTGGCTCACGAGGTGACCGACATGTGGGGTGGTCTGCCAACCGAAATTATTCCTGTAGTCGTCTCTGCAAACGGGCTAATCCCAGTCAGCCTCTCGGGTCATCTGAGGCGGCTGGGACTACGTGGCGGTCCGCTCCAGGCTCAAATGCAGAAGGCGGTGCTCCTCGATACCGCCCGCATCGTCCGCCGGTTTCTTTCCCTTTCCCCCTAACCCTCGGCCGTTTGGTCTCCCCTGCCGAGGGCCTCCATCTGGTTGGGCTTTTATTTATATATGTATTTTTATATTAATTTATGTTATTGATATTTATGTATATTTATCTTTTCATTTCCATTTATAATTATATATTTATAGAACCCAACCAGATGAGAAAACTATATTGATACCCCCACAATAATAATAATCTTCTCGTCAGGTATACCGCAATCTCAAAAACTAGATTGTACTACCAGTGCGTGTTGCCAGTGATGACTTACAGATCTGAGACGTGGTCCTTCACTGCTGGCCGTATGAGGACGCTCAAGGTCGCTCAGTGAGCTATGGAGAGGGCTATGCACGGAGTTTCTCTGCGTGATAGACTCAGAAATGAGGATATCCGCAGTAATTTTAAACACGCCGAAACAGACCGACTCTCCGGCCACGTCCAAATGGCTACAGATTCGTTGCTACAGCAGATCTCCTCCACAGAGATCGTGATGAAACAGTAGTAACATCACGCATAATAAGGTCATGACTCGACCTGAGAATCGAACCCGAGACCCCAATCGCTGAAAACATTTCTGGTCATTGGCCTCACCATTTTTCTGGTTCCTTCGAGTAGGATTCGAGGGAACAGTCTGTGGCTCAACCAGATCGCTACTTAACGATAAGACCGCCGATTGTACCTTTTCAGTTTTTTATGTTTGTGGTTTCTAAGCATTTGTTCTAATTATGCGCAATAAAGAGTTATCAGACTATCTGTTCCTTGTCCTTCAGGTTAATGCGATAGGTACGAATTGTTAGATATCATCGTTTTCTTTAATCATTAGATACAATGTTTATTTGAGATTTTATTCTTATCGTAAACTTATCGATTGGTTTTTTAAATATTGACTGTTTTTTTTTTGCATTTTATGATTGATTCGATGCAAGGTAAGCTTATTAAGAGAGTTTCTGAATAATAGCATCATGCTATAAGCAGGAGTGCTACCAAGCCTGGGCTGACGCATCAACGTCCCGGGATGTAAACACCAGCGCTCTAAAAAAGAAGTATAATTCCGCCTCTAGGTCCTTCAAAAGAGTCATTGCCAAGGTAAGGTAGGAGCACATAGGCAGAATTGGCGAGAAACTAGTTCGCCTTCCTTCTGGAACCCGTGCATTCTGGTCTCTCGCCAAGGCTGTCCAAGGGAATTTCTGTTAGCCATCGTTTCCATCTCTGCACAGGGAGGACGACTCACTGGTCCATACCGCAAAGGAGAAAGCCGATCTGCTAGGCTCTTTCTTTGCGTCCAACTCGACTCTCGATGACGGGGGGAGTACGCTGCCGAACATCCTGCGGTGTGAGTGCTCCATACCGGAAGTGCAGTTCACACAGCACTCGGTTCGCAAAGCACTCCTCTCCCTGGACATCCACAAGTCGAGTGGGCCTGACGGAATCCACCCAATAGTGCTGAGGACGTGTGCTCCAGAGTTAGCACCGGTTTTGGCGCGTCTTTTCCGGTACTCCTACTCCCTAGGCGTAGTCCCAAAATCATGGAAGACGGCTTTCGTCCACCCGATCCCTAAAAAGGGCGAACGCTCATATCCGTCTAACTACAGACCCATCGCCATCACCTCCTTGTTCTCCAAAACAATGGAGTCCATTGTAAACTGCCAGCTCATGAGGTACCTTGAGGATCACCAGCTGATTAGTAAGCGGCCAATACGGTTTTCGTCGTGGTCGATCAGCTGGTGATCTTCTTGTCTACCTGACTCATAGATAGGCGGCGGCAGTAGTGTCCAAGGCCGTTAGTTTGAACGTTGCGAAGGCCTTCGATCGGGTTTGGTACAAAGCGCTTCTTTCGAAGCTCCCTTCCTATGGGCTTCCCGAAAAATTGTGCAATTGGATCACCAGCTTTCTTGCAGATCGGAGCATCAAGGTCGTTGTAGACGGTGCAAGCTCCGACTACAAGCCTATTAATGCTGGTGTTCCACAAGGCTGCGTGCCATCGCCAACGCTCTTTCTTTTGGATATCAATGATATGCTGCAAACCTGTAACATACATTGCTATACAGATGACAGCACTGGTGATGCTCTGTGCACCGGCTGTGCCAATATTTCTCGAGAAAATGTATCCGAGTACCGGGACAAACTTGTGTCTGAAGTCGAGTCTTTGCTGAACAGAGTCTCGGATTGGGGGTGACTAAATCTAGTCCAGTTTAACCCCCAGAAGACACAAGTTTGCGCGTTAACCGCTAAAAAGAACCCCTTTGTCGTATCCCCTCAGTTTCAAGGCACTCCCCTTGTTGCCTCAGCCAGTATCGGAATCCTCGGCGTCGACATATCGAGTGACGTGCAGTTTCGTGGTCACTTGGAAGAGAAGGCCAAATTGGCCTCTAAAAAGCTTGGGGTGCTCAGCAGAGCGGGACAGTATTTCATGCCGGCGCACCGCCTGCAACTTTACAAGGCGCGGGTTCAGCCGCACATGGAATACTGTTCCCATCTCTGGGCTGGGGCTCCCCAGTACCAGCTCCTTCCACTTGACCGCATCCAGCGCAGAGCGGCTCGAATCGTCGACGACCGAGTGCTTTCCGATCGGCTCGATTCACTAGCGCTGCGAGGAGATGTTGCATCTCTTTGCATTTTCTTTAGCATATACCATGGAGAGTGCTCTGAGGAATCGTTCGGCTTAATCCCAGCCGCCAAATTTTGTGAACGCACTACGCGGCAAACGTTCCGATACCATCCACACCATCTGGATGATAGGCGGTCCACCACTGTACGTTTCACAAAGAGTTTTCTTCCGCGTACGACCTCTCTGTGGAATAGTTTACCACCGGCGATTTTTCCGGACCGATACGACCATCAAGAAAAGAGCTTATTCCTTTCTAAAGGGCCGGCAATGCACCTGCAATTCCCCTGATGTTGCGGTTGAACATGGGCGGCGGTAGTCACTTAACATCAGGTGAGCCGCATGCTCGTTTGCCCCCTCTTCTATAAAAAAGTAAAACAGAGCTCTCAGCGGATTAGTAAGCTGAAATGGCAATGGGCCGGCCATATAGCTCGAAGAACCGATAACCTATGTGGAAGAAAGGTTCTCGAGTGGCAGCCTCGTACCGATAGGCGTAGTGTAGGGCGACCCCCCACTAGATGGAGTGATGACCTGGTAAGATATGCAGGAAATCGATGGATGCAGGTGGCTCAGAACCGTGCTTTGTGGCATTACTTGCGGGAGGCCTATGTTCAGCAGTGGACTTGTGAAGGGCTGTAATGATGATGATGATGAACTTTACATTAGAAAATAATTGTGTACATACAAATGTACATACTAAAATAATCAAAAATTATGAATGAAGCATCAATTTAAGAGCGTTATCAAGAAGCAATAACGCTTTTTGAGGAAAATTATGATGATTCAATTATTTTTAGAATCAAATTTTTCTATCAGAATCAAAACAATACCCTACACGTC